CAGTTGTGAGTATGTGAAACAGAGTTTATTCTTGTATTATTTATTTATTATTGTATTATTTTCCATACTCAGAACTGTAAACCTACTTTTGCCTCCCTGTATATTTAGGACATCTTTTTTTTTTAAATTTATCTTTATTGTTGAAAGTATTACAGATGTCCCCCTTTTCCCCCCCATTGACCCCCTTCACACTGCATCTGCCGCTCCCTCAGGCCTTCACCGCACTATTGTCTGTGTCCATGGGTTATGCATATATGCATATAAGTTCTTTCATAATCTCTTCCCGAACTGCCCCCACCCCTGAGTTTCATCAGTCTGTTCCATGCTTCTATATCTCTGGATCTGTTTTGTTCATTAGATTCCACATATGAGTGAGATCATGTGATACTTGCTTTTCTGTGTTCTGTGTTTTTGTTTGGTTGTTTTTAACTTTCAACTCACATCAGAATAATCTCATATGCAACCCTCACCCCATATCCAACTCACAATCTTCCTCTGCCCGCACAAATTTCAACTTGTCTCCCGTCAGAGTTAAACTTTACAACTTCATCTTCGGTGCTGTTTATTTTGAAACTCTTTGCCATTTATATTTTCACTTTGGCAATTGGCTTCTTCATTTGCAACCTGCACTAAGAGGTCAGTTTATTCTTCCAAACTCCTTTATGGATAGAGTCACCTTCAAATGCATATTAGTAATATGCAGCTCATCTGCAAATAAAAGTTCTCAGATACTCCATGCATCTTAACATATCTGACCTGCCTCTCTGCTCCCCATTTCCATTCATCCCAAAAATCTCACAGAAGATACTGCTTTTGTTGCAAAAGCAAATACTGAATTGTAGATTCCAGCTCTTCTTACCTCATGAGAAATTTTTCTTCTACATGCCCCTTCTCCCTCTCTTTTGGCATCTGTAATATAGCCATAGCAGGAAACAAAGGGGTGAAGAAATGCTTTTTAAAAACTTGAGCTGTTTCTGCATTCTAAGATCACACATCAGAAGACAGACTGCTGTTGTGCTTAGAAAGATACTGTGATGGAGCTGTCTGTTAAATACACACAGGCTTAGCAAGCCCACACAACCATCCAATCCACAAGTTTAGAAGGATGAATTTGAAACAAAGGGGCAGAAAATTTTTCTGTAACATTAAATAACAGGAATATTTTAGTTTTACTCTTGGCAGAGTAAAGTTCTTAAAGTTCTGGAATCCAAGGGAAAGTAGAGATGAGACAGCAACAGGAGTTGAGAAACTCACTAGAATTCCTTTGGCAAAAAACAATCGAAGAAATGAGGAACACTGAAGTCATTATTAATTTTAAAGCATTTTCTGTTCTGTGTAATAAAGTCCTTTTGTGATCCAAACCTTCTGCTACAAGCCGTAGTGTTGTGTTTGTCAGGAATGAAGGAAGAGGGATGTGTCCACTCTTGGGATAAAGCAGTGAAGACAGAAGGCAAGCGGGCAGGAAGCCAAGATGACCAGTGCTGAGAGGAAACTGAACTGTGTGAGGTAAATGGGCGGGAAAGGTTACAAGCAACAGCCAAGGGAATGTCAGCATACTCTCCTCTGAATTCTTACAGTTCTGAGGTTACAGGGCATAGATAGTGTGGCTTTATCATGTCTGCTGAACTCTTCATTATTATAAAATATCCCTCATTATTTATTTAAGAACTGTCTCTTATAATCAGTGTATGGTTGGTTGGTTTCTTAAAAACCAGTTTGACTACCATTCGTCTTTGAACTGGAATAGTCTATTTATATTTATTGTAATTATTGAGATATTTGGATTTATTTCTACTTTCTTGCTGTTTTTCTCCTTCTATTCCCCACCCTGGTTTATGCCTTGTTTTCTTCCTTTTCTTGCATCTTCTGGGTTAACCAGTTTTGAAAATTATGACATTTTCCCCTAGCAATCAAGCACTATAACTACTGTCTCCTCAGTAGAGTAAGACTGGAAAACAAAACAAAACAAAACCACAAACTGTTCAAACTTCAACCCTGCTTTTGAGAGTTGAGAAAGTCATTAGAATTCCTTTGGCAAAAAACAATCGAAGAAATGAGGAACACTGAGAGGCTTTATGATTTTATTTCATTTCATTTATTTATTTTTGCCTTTGCCTCATGCAGCTGCATAATTTCGCAAATGTTTTAAGGAGAAAACTCTTTGTATGTCAGGCTCAGCTCTCCAGCCCTCTCTTTTTACTGAATTCTTGGTCCTTCAAGCCTCCATTTTGTCTTTTTAGCCCCACAAGACAAACAGGTTTTGCTTATTTTGGTCACCTAGCAGCAGCCTTCTTCCTAGACAAAATTTAGATTCCTGCTTCTGGCTACACACACAGAATTAGCAAATACCTCTGGAAAAGCAGTTGTAACTGCCAGCTCATCTTTCCTTGGAATCTTCGCACATGGTTTTAGCCTTGTGGTAAAACTTTAATGTTTTTTCTATTTCAGTTTTTTGTATTTTATGTGCTTATTCTGCTTATTCTCAAGTGAAAACACTAGACTGCCCCAATTTTTCCATTTCATCAGAAATGAAAGTCCCTAGCTATTTGAATTAAATACAAATGAAAGCATGGCTCCAAAAGCCAGGAGGACTAGAAATCATTTGGGTTTAATTCAAGTGACCACAGAATTTATTATCCAAACTATAAAACTTTTGAGAATGAAGAATGTTAATAATAATAAGGTCCAAAAAAAATGGGTGAACACTGAGATATGGTCACTTCAGTTAGGTTATGACTTTTATATAGTTCTTTCTCTTCTACTGGTTCATTCTCAAATACCAAATCTGCCCTGCCAACTGCCTCCTTTTAGTGTAGATCAAAGGTATACAGGTGAAATTTGAAAGTTTGCTAACCCACATATACACCTGGTGATGCTATTTTGTTCCTAAAAAAAAAAAAGAAAGAAAGCTAAAACTCAGGGTTTGCTCCCAACAAACTTTAAAACATGAAATTGTAAAGGATGTATTTCAAGCAGAGGAATTTGACCCCAAATGGTAAGTCTGAGATGCAAGTGGAATTGAAGAGCAGAGTATGATAAATATAAAGGTAATGCTAAACAAATATTAACTGCAAATAATGCTAATAATATCTTGTAATATTAAGAAAAATAAGCTTAAACTAACTACATGACAAAAGTAGCCCATAAGTCTGGAAACGTGATGATAGGAATGAGAGTTCCCAAAGATCGTGTGTTGGTCAGGAAGAGAATAAAAATATTACTGAATTTTAGGCTCTGATACATTAAGCTTGCCTATTACATTTTCCAGGAGAATTTTCAAAATAATAAGTATTGAGCACATAACTAATTTCCAGACTATTGGAAGAGAAAAATAGAATGAGAAAAAAATCTATAAAATAGAAATCAAGAGAGAGAATAAAACAAAGGAAGTGCAAAACAAAAAGAAAATATAAAATATAATAGATTTAACCCAAATATATCAACAGTTACATTACATGAATTAAATGCTCCAATCAAAGAACTTATATTAGACTGGAAAAGAAAAGACTCATTTATATGCTGTTTTTAAGAGACATATACAAATCTATAAATTAAAATTAAAAGATAGAAAAATATATACTGGCAAATCCTAATCAATAGAAAGCTGATATTGCTTCATTCATGTTATACTGTAAGATTAAAAGTACACCTAAAGATAAAGGCGGTTACTGAATAATGACAAAACAGTCAGTTCACTGGGAAGAAATATATCTAAACCAACAAACACCTATTAACACAGTCCAAAGTGTATAAAACAAAAATGAACAGAATTAGAGGGGGGAAATACATATATCTATCATTCTAGTGAGAAACAAAAACCATATATTTTAGCAATTATTGTTAAGCAGAAAAAACATTAATTTTTAACTGGGTCATATGGATATATAAATTGTACTTCATCTAAGAGTGGAGATTACATACTCTTTTGAAGTGCACATAGAACATTCACAAAATTAAACATATTCTTGTTCATAAAGTAAGTTGCAGAACTATTTCAATTTATATCACTGAATATACCAGAGTAGGGAATTCCAGGATTCCATCCCTCCACAAAAGCAACTAATAAACTGGTAAACATTTTTGGAATAAATTTCTCATAACCCTGCAATCTAGTGAAAACTTACAACAACCATGGAAAGCTTAATAAAGAAAGAAACTGATGCATTTCAGTGGGAGAGTGCTGTAATATTTTTAAATTCTCCACTTGCCACTCCTTATCTCCCAAGTTAATGGCAGCCATGAAGATGG